AAAACACCAGGTTAGAAAGGTAGAAATGCAAGGCACATGTATTTAATTGATTATGTTTACATATTGTTAGACTAATTTGAACACAAGGGGATTGATGATAGCATTGGGAAAAATTGTGAAAAAATACCGGTTTAGAAAGGTAGGATTGAGATGCATAGGTATTCAATTGATGATGTTTGCATATTGTTATGCACTTTCATAATTCAAACAATTATCAAGGCTAATGACATGCTTTCACATTCAAAAGTTAAATCATACAAGCCAATTTGCACATTTCACATTCCACATTCAATTAAAAAACAACTACCCAAAGTAGGGTTTTTTTAATTATCTCAAACTTTTGAAATGTCAAAAGTTTACTCCCTCAATATTATAACTTCCAAGCTTGAATTCCCAAGCCACAATGGTGCCCAATTGCTCAATCTACAGTCAATCAATTCTTACTCATCAATATTATTAAATACACATTTTCAACTCTCATTTTCTACTTCTACAACACCCAACATCTTTAATTTTTACCTTTAGGCTGATTCATTAGATTCATTAGATTCATCAATGAACCATTAAACTCCTATTAATGATATTGCAACTCTTCCAACAACTATCATTAATACCAAATTTTGGATATTTATAAGATCCACTAACTAAAGGTATCAAAACTCATTATTTTTAGGGTTATATACTCAAATCTAATCCTATTAACTCCATTTGAGTCAATGAATTAGGATCCATAATCTTTATGGATCAAAAATTATCTTCCATTATCAAATCCTAATAAAAAACTTCATAAATGTGGAAGAGAAAGAGGGGGAAGGAATTTAGGGCACTTACCTCAAGTGATTTATAGCACCAAAGTACTCTCAACACTTTCTAAGTATGAACCCTAATAGAGCATAAATCATCCTCTTCATTTTCCTTTTCTCTTCTTTCTATTTTTTTGCTTGAGTTCACAATTTAAGTCTATAAAAAATGGGTTGTGCGTTATGACGTGTGGCACAGAAAGGCTCTTTTACTTCAGTAATCATTTGTGTGTCATGACAAATGTGCTGCGCGCCATGACATATGGCACAGAAACATTTTCTTCGTGTTTTCTCCTCTTTTCGATACCCAGGTGGCTCAACTTCACTTTAAACTCATAATTAGGGCTAAAAATACAACCAAATCCAATATTAGACCTCCCTGGCCATGTGCCACATCAAATCACTCAAATACTACAATTAAACTTAATTAATTTCTCAATAATTCAAGGGTTAAGATTTAGGATGTTGCATACTTTAAGCAAGAATCCTTGCACCCAAACCATAACCCTTGCACCCTAAGCCAAAATGCTTACATCCTCTAATTCTAGCATCCCAAATCAAAACTATATCATGAGGAGTAAGAAAAATATCATACCCATGTTAAACTAAATCCTACCCTATACAAAAAATAAATAAAGAAACACTCACAATAAGTTCTCTCTTTTTAAGTATTATACATTGTATAGCAAGTCATGTTAACATATTAAAGATGTGGAATCAATAATATAACATGGAGAATAACTAAATTGTTTTGAAAAAACAAGTAAATCTGAAGAGTAATAATAAACAACAATAATTTTAATGAAAGAACATTAATTACATTAGGTTTGGTTTATCTTTTTGTTAAGTACAATTAAAATGATAAATAAAGACTATACAGCACCTCATATCCAAAAATATACCATAGGGGCTTAAGAACAACATTATGCCCATAATAAACTAATTTTATCCTCTATAAAGAAAAAAAAACAAATAAGGGGGATGGTTATAAATACATTTCAAAGTACAATAACAATTCCATTCAATCTTCCAAGCAAACCTCTTGATCAACATTTTCTTGTAGCTCGCTCGAGTTAAGATATGTATAAGTTGAATTTGCAAGAGCTTTTTGACTTAAACTTATTTTTCTCATCTTCATAAGAAATCTTATGCTTCAATACGTCTAAAACATTATGCCTAAAATAGAAATTAGTAGCCATCATAAGTGGGTTGTTCATGCCATGCTACGTTCAAGTATAAGATATTTATCCAAAATGGAACAGGTTCAATAGTATCACCAATTCCTAAACTTATCACTTTTGCGTCGAGGTACTTCTGCAAGGGTATAGCCCTTCTTCTAGCAATCTACTCTTTGCAATAAAATGGTAAAATGAATGTTAGCATAAAGGATACTGTAAAGTAATGCAATGTCAAACACTGTAATAAAAAAAATTCAAAATTTGAGGAGGGGAAATAAATAAAAATTGCTCATTACATCATCTTAATTAGATTAAACAAAAGATAAAGATGTTGAATATTGCCTTTATTGCATTCCTTTATAGGTTTTTAAGACATGCAAATTTTCAAATTTAAACACCTCATTCTGAAGCATATATTATAAGAAAACATCTCATTTCTACTATTTTTAGCCCTATATCAATCAATTACAATAATTATTCAAATATAACATGTAAGGAGTAAGACAAGTAAAGGTATCATTTTGATTATCACTTGAATGACAATTGAAAATGAAATTAGATCATTATTAGTTGAGATTGAAAGAAAACATCAATCAATGCAAATGTTTACATGTGCTTTCTCTCTCTTTTAATTTTATGAAAACTAGGACTAGACCACTAAATAACTTCAACATTTGAACTACCAAGCAAAAACAAGAAAATTATGATATAGATATCAGTTCATATATAAGATTGGAAATCATTTACCAAAGAGAACATAAAATGGGCAAATGAATGCCAAAAACAATAGATAGTAAAAACTCTACCGATTGCACTATGATAATAGTTAACCAAATCTAAGGTGCTAGAGCAATAGAACAAGACTAGAACCAGAAAGTTTCAAATGGCATTACAAACCTCTGGAAAGAGATAAAGAGCTTGAAGTTTCACTAGATTATCATTGCAGGAAACTTTTGTCTTGTAAGCTTCAAAGGAGGATAAATTCTCAATTTTTTTAATTGTGGCACATTCTTTTTCATATGCAATGTCATGCAAACATAAATTAGTAAATGTTCACATATTGTAAACATTAGTTTGGAAGGTTGTCTAGAGTTTTTAAGTGCAGAAAATAAGTTATAGAATGGACAACTATATAAAATCATGTTTAAAATTCTAGGATCCATGGTTCAAAATTAATTGCATCGTTAGATGGAATTCATCAATTGATTGGTCATATTCAATGGGTCATTACTACAGCTTATTTAACAGAGTGGATATAATCATTCTCAAATCTTCTTCCAACAGTATTGAAATTTTCTCATTAACACCAAAGATAAATGTGTCAAAAGTATATCCTTTTTAGTTCACCAAAATGCACAAGTAGACCTAACATGAACTTCTTGGTTTCATAAACAGCTCTTCAAAGATTATAAAGTTTGCAATGACTCTTCCAATACATATTCTACTAATAGCAAAAGCCTATTTCAGTACAGAAACTAACTCCAAATAAGTAAAGTCACTATCATTGTAATTTGTACAATGTTGAAAAAGTAATTTAGAGATTATTGAACAACAAGGTTATCATTGAAAATCATTGAACTTTGAAACTTTCTCTTATTTGCTTATCCATCAGCAACAAATAATGGGCTCACAACTACTAGTATATAGAACAATTTAGAAACAATTACTTGGTAATTTATAAAGAAAACTTTACTCAATGAACTTGACTACTTTTAAAGTCAATGAGCAGGCTATCAAGTAAACGAGAGTTTAATGGAAAAATCTTCACACCACCGACCTCCACCCCAGTATTGCCTGACAATAATAATACAGAAAGCAAGAATAGGATCGAATTTGAGATGAAACGAATACCTTGGGTTGAAGTTTAAGGGAGATAAGAAAGTGGAGGGGGATGAAGAGATTGAGATCATCAAATTGTGGGAGACCATGGAAGACATCTTCAAGTGAGATAATGGTGATTAGCTATTTCGTCCAGAACTAGAAGTGAAGATGGGCGGAGTCACCTGTAGGTGAAGAAGGCCTTAAAAGCGGGTATAGCATGTTTGCAAAAGTTGTAAAGTTAAACACATATAAACATGAGAGCAATTATTAGGCAAAATTACTTCAGGTGAAGGTGAGTTTGAGAGCGATCAATAAGGATGGAAGTGAAATGGCAAAACAAGGAAGACAATGACTTGGAGAAGTAGGGTCGTCGGAAATCATCTTCGATTTACTAAAACATTTTCTCCCATAACAAAGGGCGTTTTGATCCATTCCCCTCATCCTTTTCTAAATAAAAAATTAATTTTGATCCTTTAACAGAATTCAGTCCTTGGGACCAATTTTACTTCTAACTTGATCCTTTTTACTAATTTTCTCAACTTTTATTATTTCTTGTAGTTAATTAAGTTTTTATCTAATAGATGAGACGAGTTGTTGGTTGGCAGTTTACTACTTTTTGTGGTCAAGCAAGCTGGATCGTGGAGCGAACTTCATCAAGGAATTTGATCATCTTTTCATGGAGATTAATAATTATGAAAACTAGCTTGCATTAGAATAACTTGAATATTAGAATTTTTAATCACCTAGCTATAGAATCTAGAGGTTTTTTGTTCATGAATCTGATTTAGTCTTGTTTTTATTGCATGAATTTGTCCTTAATTTCATATTTTAAAAAAATCAAGAATCAAATCCTGAATTTAAATATTAAAATTAAAATACTCGACGGGTTTTTCATTAATTTTTTTCTCACCCACATGCACGCTCATATTTTTTAGAAAAATATACTAAAAGTATTGTTTTTATCAAATCAAAATTGGTGTATTCTTTATTTCTGTAAATAAATCTTATTATTCATATATAGTTATTCTAATTTGATTTAAAAATACATTGAATATATTAAATAGAATGCGCAAATTACAATTTTTCAAACTTTAATTTAATTAATTAATTATATATATTTGATAACATATATAAACTTTTTTAACAACCACGCAACTTATATATAGGAACAAGGCGGTTCGGGTTCACGACGAAGCTCCGACACATGGTCTCGGGTTGAGAGTTGAGAACTACTGATTCATGATTCTGATACCTTCTCAAGCCGCCTCACCCCCTGAAGAACCGTTCTGGCGGCGGATTTCGATCCCACTGGAACCTTCGCCGACGGTGGCAGGTCATGGCGTTGCCTTCGAAGGCAACATCTTCTTCCATTTACATTGATGTTCGCAGTCTTCTTTGAGATCATTCAGCCGCCAGTTGTCCAATCTAAAAGCCCGAATGTGTGGTTTACTCAATGTCCCTCTGTTTCAGAGCTTCAAAGGCTTTTACTGCAACTGCTGCACCCATCACAGCTCTCAAAGTACGTCTTCTTTTTCCTTTCTGCTCCACTTTCTACAACTCTAGCTCCTCCAGTGTAGCTTCGATTCCTGAGGTCCAATACAGAGAACTTATCTTCGACATCGTTGAAGAGAAGCCTGGAGCTTTTTGTAACTGTAATTGGGTATCTGATCAGTTTCGAGCTGTGGTGGCTGAACCCGAGTTGTTCGTTCGGGTCCTTAACTCTATTCGAGATAGACCCAAAATCGCTTTACGCTTCTTTAGATGGGTGGAGAGCCAACCCGAGTATAAGGGATCTGCATTCGCACTTGTCGTTATTCTTGACATTCTTGCGCAGAATAATCAGATGCGATCGGCGTATCGGGTTATGGAAAGGGTGATTAGCGGGAATATGCACGGAATCTTGGACGTTTTGATTAACGGGTGTGTGCCTTCGGAGGTATCTGTCAAGCTTCTTGATCTGTTGCTGTGGATATATACAAAAAAGTCAATGTTCGAGAAGTGCCTATGTGTGTTTCATGAAATGATTCATAATAAGCTGTTGCCAGATGTGAAGAACTGTAATAGGATTCTCAGGACACTTAGAAATAAAAGTCTGGTCAATAAAGCAAGAGAAGTTTATAATTTAATGACTGAATCTGGTATTAAGCCAACAACTGTCACGTATAATACCATGCTGAGTTCATTTTGCAAGGAAGGGGAAGTCCAGCAAGCTTTGGACCTTTTATTAGAGATGCAAGAAAGAGGGTGTCTTCCCAATGATGTTACTTATAATATTTTGATTAATGGTTTGTCTAGCAAAGGGGAACTAGATCAAGCTAAGGAATTGATTGAGGAGATGCTGAAATCTGGACTTGAAGTTTCAGCTTATACGTATAACCCTTTGATCAGTGGGTACTGCAAGAAGGGACTGCTTAAACAAGCATCTATTGTTGGTGAGGAGATGTTAAGCAGAGGAGTTTCACCTACTGTAGTGACTTACAATACGTTCATGTATGGGTTTTGCAAGTGGGGAAGAATGATTGACGCAAGGCAGTATTTTTCTGTTATGCTGAATAAGAATCTGCTGCCGGATTTAGTTTCATACAACATTCTAATTTATGGTTACTGTAGGTTGGGGAACTTAAAAGAAGCTTTTGTCTTATTTGATGAGCTACGATGTAGGAATTTTGTACCCTCTGTTATCACTTATAATACCCTGATAGATGGTCTTTGCAGATTGGGGAACTTGGAGGTGGCCCAAAAGCTTAAAGAAGAAATGATCATTCAGGGGCCTAGTCCTGATGTTTATACATTCACAATTCTTGTAAGGGGATCATGCATGATAGGTGACTTGCAGATGGCTAAGAAACTTTTTGATGAGATGCTTCATAGAGGATTGCTGCCAGATTGCTTTGCCTACACGACTCGTATAGTAGGTGAACTGAAACTTGGTGATTTATCCAAGGCTTTTGGTATGCAAGAAGAAATGCTAGCTAAAGGTTTTCCTCCTGATTTGATCACGTATAATGTCCTCATAGATGGGCTCTGCAAATTGGGCAATTTGAAAGAAGCAAATAAACTTGTGAAGAAAATGGTCCATGATGGACTTGTTCCAGATCATGTAACATATACTAGCATCATCCATATCCACCTGGCTGTTGGCCATCTTAGGAGAGCTAGATTGTTGTTTTATGACATGTTGAGCAGAGGAATATTACCTTCAGTAGTTACTTACACAGTTTTGATTCATTCACATGCAATTAGGGGAAGGCTTGAGCTTGCTATTATGTACTTTATGGAAATGCAGGAGAATGGTGTTTATCCAAATGTGATCACTTACAATGCGTTGATAAACGGTCTTTGCAAAGTGAGAAGGATGGATCAAGCGTACAAGTTTTTCACAGAGATGCAAGTAAACGGTCTTTCTGCAAACAAGTATACCTACACTATTTTAATCAATGAGAACTGCAAGATGGGTTATTGGAAGGAGGCCTTAAGGTTGTATAAGGAAATGCTAGATAAGGAAATAGAGCCTGATTCTTGTACACACAGTGCACTTCTGAAATATCTAAACAAAGACTATAAATTTCATGCAATTCAATATCTTGAGAATTTGATTGGAGGTGGCAAATAAACTCTTGATGTGAAGATTTAATGGATCTGTATGGGATTCTTTCATGGCTTAGAGTGAAAGGCATGCCAGAATATGGACAGATTTTGCCTCATTAAGGTGTAAATTGCTGCAGACATAGAAATGTAAAATTTTCTGCTCATCCTGCCAAGTAAGAATTTCCTTATTTTCTTTCCTTTGACATAAGATATTTATATTGAAATCCATAATCCTGTGGCCTTGACACATTGGATAATTTGTTACAGGATGAAGCTGCTGATGGGTTTATTTATCAGTTAGAAGCGCTGACATCAACAATTTACAATTCAACCAGGTAACATTTGAGAAAGCATGTGGATTCAATCAGTTAAAACAGTTATATCAGAGTTAAGTTATGCAGCAAAAGCAAGAAGAGACTTATAGAAAGGCCATTTCCTTTGTCAATATATTTCAAATAAATTTTTGACACAATCATACGGTATTTTTTCATTCTTTTTGTGTAGTCTTTGTAGAGGGGAAGGGAAGTAGATGGGATGGCGTTCATTCAATGCATGACTTTGATGGTGATTACTTTTTTTATTCAAGTGGTATATATATTGTTTTCTAGAGTTACAACTTGTATGAAGGATGAACAATGTTATATAAAGAAAAAGATTAGACAATAAATATTTTAACACTTCTATTCTAGTTATTCAGCGAACGCCTCAACCTCTCTGGGGATTTAATAACCTCACCATACAGTTACTTTTCCGACTTTACTTTTACAGACATTGGGCTAAAGCTGGGGAATCCTAGTGTAATTATAAAGCACGGTTGACTATAATCTTCTGTCTGTGGTCTGCAGTTTACACTTCTCTTTCAACATACTTCAGTTCAATATGGATATTGAGTTAGGAAAATAATAGGTAATTAAACTGGAGGGCGTTGATCAGAGTATGAACAGGTAATCAAACATGACAAGTACAAAAATATTCTCCTCTATACATCCAGAGTTTCCATCATTACAATTACCATTGTGTTTGTGCACACATCAGATGAACTCTCTATTCTTCATCAACCCATTGCCAATTGGTTAAGACACAGATGTTGCAATTGTTATGATTTCATTTGAAAGAAAAAGAAATGAATGAGTGGAGTTTGCTCATTAGAGCACTCGATATTTTGCTATACTCCCTCTGGTTCAATTTGTAAGACTAGGAAACCTTTTAAAAGTAATTTTTGATCTAAAATGTAAGACACCTTGTAATAATTAAACAAATTTTTCTAATTTTACCTTTTTTTGATTAGCGTCAAGGTATTTAATATAGTTATATTATTATTTAAAGTCAAGGGTAAAAATAAAAGTACATATTATTTTTTTAAGTTATCAAGAAAAAAATTAACTTTTCTTAAAATGCGTGAGACGGTTAAAAATGTCTTACAATAAAGACCGGAGGGAGTAACTATCTAAGATCTGATGCTACCAAGTTATATTCAAACATTGTTGGGGCCAATTTGGGTAACTCTCCCAATGTGGATGTTTTCCATCTACAAGGTTCAAACCTTCAACTTCAAACTCTGGGTAATTTAATGATAAAAATCATAATTGTTTGGCTTCCTCTTCATTTTATGTTTAAGTGTGTGAGAGAGGGAAAACACTGGCATTGCACAAACTTTCCAGTGATTGGGAATATTCGCTGTATCAGAATGTTTTTATTTCAAGGATGTCCGTCTTTAGATGCTATATGGGACATAACTTTTGCAGCCTCTCTTTGGTGTTTGCTTCACATCATTTTCAAATTTCAAGGCAGTCACTTTATTAGATATACAAAGGATTGGGCAGCTTTGTTGCTGTTTTCCTTTTTATTGTAATTATAATGTCTTGTTTTGATTGTAGTAGTTTTTTTTAGGTATACATTTCAACTTCCTCTCATGTATTTTTCTTGCTTCTTATTATAACGTTTCTCATTTATCCAAAATAAAATGAAAAGACAAGATTCTTTAGCAACTACTTGGATTGAATAATTCTTTCTGTTATCTGTAATGTCTTTGCTCATTGTAGCATGTATTTTCACGAGCTGTTATGGCATGACATATGCTGCCCATATATTCTGTAGTTTACATATATATTGAATGCCTTTGATGAAGAAAAACTTTTTAAAGTTGCATAGCTGGCATACATGTAATGTCAGCTAATGGCATCATTATCTTTGGCTTATCTTCACATTGATATTGCTTGATTTTCTGTTTATCCTGGAGTTAGATTTATACTGTGGATAATCTGCTGCCTGATGAAGCCATGTATCGTTGGTGGATTTTTTTGGGTTATTTCAATCAGTAAGAAACGTCTGAGTGTATTGACTGTTGATATTAGATTTTACAGGCATTATCAATAAGGCTGAGCGGCAGCTACTATGAAGTGTACATTTTTGGTATTTTTATAATCCAACCTAACTGGACTTGTATTTTGTCATTCTGTTTGTGTTAAAATACCTTTTTTATTTAATGTCTGTGATTCTAGGGAGTAGGGACAAAGTTACCAAATAAAATAAGAATGATCCTGGTTATATCTCATGTATTTGGATATATAACTTGATTGTTTTTCTGTTGTCATATTATAAATTTGAATTAGTTTTTGGCCCCGTGCGATGCATGGGATAATTATTGATGTGGATTTAACATGGATAATTCACGTCATCTTTTGTGGGTATAATAACCGTATAGATTATTCGTGTTTCACTGTGTTTAAATGCATTTAGTTGCTCTTAATGTGTGTGTGTAAAAAGGGAAATAAAAAACTCTGAGTGGCTTCGGTTCTTTAATGTTTGTATTAAAGGTGAATAGCATAAGATAGGATGTGAGGTTTGTAAATAAAGTCCAATAACTAGAGTCCAGGCTCTTTTAAGTCTAACACATGTAGGATGCATGGGTTGAATTCTTTTTAAAATTGAATGTTGAATATAATGAATTATTTCTGGTACAATGCAAGGGATGTTGTTATAATGAAAGAAAATTTAATCTTTCCAAATTTCTGTGCAAAATTTCTCATAATGGAAAAAAGGAGATGAGTGAACTCAATTTTAGAAACGAAACAGTAATGTTTTAAAAGAGTATTACTAGAAATCACTCATGAAGAACAAATAAGAATAAAGAGAAATGAAATGCTAAAATAGTTTTTGGTTATGAAAGAATTTCGTTGGCAACAAAAAAAATAATAATAATTTCACCATTAACAATTCCAACTTAAAACCAATGTTGTGCATGTGCATGTGAATGTGTGTTTACCAAAATTAATTAATTAATTATATATAAGGCAGGCCCAACTAATTTGACATGTTCCAATAAAACGTTACCATACACTAAGCCCACTCTACTAAACTCACATTTCACATTGAGCCTATTCCATTTAAGATAAGGCTTGGAAAAACTACAAAATTTCAGGACAACCAAGTGTGACCCGCAGGTTAAATAATAAAATAAATAATAATAAAGTGGTGATGATATGTGGCTTCAGATAATCTTTCCATGTATTTTAGTCCTATCTATCTTGTAATGTACTTCAAATGCCAAAGGTGCATGTGATTGGCTGTTCTTATGCTTCTTTCTCTTTTCTATTTGCAGCTGAAACACTTTCCTTGGATCATATATTTGTGACACAAATTTGCTTGAAGTCAGTAAGTCCCTTTGGATTGCTCATTAATAGAGCCAAAAGTCTTTATGGAGAATTGTATATAAGTATTAGATGAGAAAATTAATTATTTACAAGTCTCGTTTACTTGTAAATACTAAAAGTTTAATATGTAGATATAGAAGTTTGACTTGCAAACGAATTGAGGAAATAATTAATTAATTACTTACAAGTCTCATTTAATTATCAATACTGAAATTTAACAAAATGCGTGCGCAGATAAAGCAGGCTAATCTCCAAGTTAAGTGGGCCTTCTTCCCTCCCCCCCCCCCCAAAAAAAAAAATTCTATCTCCACCTGTTCACCTTTTAGGCTTCAGTGACCCAAGTTCATGTTGTTTTTTTCGGATAAGGACTATTCCAAAAATATCTGAAAGAAAAGAAACTGAAATAAAATAAAGCAGCCAATGCCTTCTGGGCTAGACCGCCAGCCCGTACATGTACAAGCTGGGCTGGGTAAAGTCCACACTTTTTGGGCAGGCTAGCTCACCTAACCCACCACAATGGAAGCCCATTTGGAGCTGGCCCACAAAAGCCGAGCTCACTGGCTCATATTTTTAGCTCTAGCTATAAGAAGGTAGATATTTGTCACGTCGCTTTTGCGAGACTCCCTCTCAACCCAAAGAGGATTTTGCTGCAGCTAATAATTTATCAGTCGCAACCAAAGATGCTGCAGAACAGAACCTACAGATTTGACAATTTTTCCAACTTTAGAGTCCCATTTTTTAGGTGACGAATCTCTAATTTGCTTGCTTCTGAAACTTGGATTTTTGAGATCATAAGCGATTTCAGAGTCCACAACCAAGACCAAAAGTTCGTGATCCAAAAACCGTACTAATCACGTCACAATAACTCGATGGGACAAAGGCAAGTCTTCTCGTTCACACACACAAATCTACTCCCTCCAACGTTTGACCTGCCAAGCTTCACGGGCATAAAATGTACTTTTACATACAAAATAAATTGTAAGCAACTAACACCACCAAGCTACAATTAATGAGGTTGGATTTAGCCACAAAAAAAGGAAAAAGAAGTTAATCCCTCAAGATGCAATGAATCATGATTCGAATTTTTAATAAAAAAAAGTGTTCAATTCATATTTTAAATAAAATTGTCTTTTATAAAAAAAATACATGTGGGTAATTTAAAAAAAAAAAAAAAACACCAACAGCCCATTAGGCCATTAGCACCCATACAAGAAAATGTACATGCCTAATTAATATAATATAAAGTAAGTTCTCCAAATCTTTAAATGATATTTTTATATAATGTATTTTGTTCTCAGTTTTATTCATGAACACATAATCTTAGTTTTAATAGAGAATGAAAGTTGTAAATTCATAAAAAGTGCTCAAATAATGACATGTTACCTTTCAAATTTAATCATTAAAATTTATGTTCCCTACTAAAATTGGGAAAAGAAAATTGCAAATTTAAGATGATAAGATTATAAATTTAGGAGACAAAGTTGCAAATTCTTGAAAGTTTTCAAATAATGATGTGATTCTTTTTCAAATTTAATCATTAATATTTATATTTTCTGTATTAAAATTGAAAAAATGAGTTATAAATTTTGGATATAAAGTGGTAAAATCTCAAAATAATGACATATTACTCAAGGATCGAGAGACTTACTTTAACATTGAGGAATTAGCTAGGACTTAAGTTGAATAAAATAATTCCCTTATGACTTAGTTCTCATTCTCACAAAATTAATGCTTTAGACAAAACATATTGTTTTAAGAAATGTATTAGAGTTTCTTATAAATAGATACGGATGTAATATACCTTTAAACTTTGTACTTTTTTGTACACTAGCAAAAGGGAAAGAAAACTCCTAGTTATGGTATCTCAGAATCCAACACCTACACAAACCGTAGCATAAGTTCAATATAGAATCGTGAACTACTATGCTTCCGTTCAAATACTTGTTTCCTTGGTCATACCAAGCTAAACTTTGTCATAATATTACTATGTTTTTAATTTGAGGTGATCCAAAATTATATTTTAATGTATATGTATTTATAAACTTTTGCATGAGCAGTTGGATTCAGTCTAGTAAAAAGAGGTTAGTTCCTCTATGAACCAAGATTCTGATTTTCGTCGAAAGATGTGTTAACATTTAATATCTAACCTTATCTAAAACAAAATTATCTTTAATAAAAGAATGTCTATAAGTAATAAAAAAAACTTTTGAATGCTCTCCATTATTGTACGGAATAGATTATGAGATAGAAAGACAAGACAAAATATATTGTGTATGAAATTCACATCTCATAGCCAGTTACATGGTATTGGGCGTATTATTTTACTTCTTTCTTTATTTACATTTTCTCCATTTATTTTAGGGTTATTGAGCAATTTTATCTTTAAATTATACATTCAAAAATATTTAGGATCTTAAACTCATTTTTGATATAATATTTGCCTTCATCATTTAAAAATGATGCAATGCCCGCCCTACTATTAACAAAAATTAACTTTAACTGTTGGTTGATTAAAAAGTTATATTATATAAAAAGACTCAAAAATTACAAATAAGTATTATATAAGAAAATTTATAATTTTTTGTCCTATCAATTATAAGTATTATGCAAGACCCACAGTTGTACAATTAAACATGTATTATTAATCATAGTCACTTGTTAATTCTAAATACATTATTATTAATTATGTATTGTAATTTGTCAAAACACAAACGAATACTTGTTTATACAAAATCAGCACATATCTAATTACTTGTCAGAACACAAACATGTGTTTGTTCATGTATTCATAAAATTTTAGGGATAATTAAGTTTTTTCTCATAAAATCTTGTTTTGTTATAGTTACCTTGAGGTTCAATGAAATTTCATATTTTTAAGGTCCTTCTTTGATATAAAAATTTTCAAGGATCCTTAGATGATATTTTTTTGGAATAAATTTACCATTTCTTAAATTTACTATTTTAAGGACAAGCACATAACTTGTATCCTTTGAAAATTCTAATAAGGGGGAACCGTATTATCTAAGGTATTTTTATTTTACTTATACAATTTTGTAATATAATGGGCAAATTTAAGTGACGGTAGGTAAGTTGTTATACAGTATACCTATTATAACCCACTTTATAAAAAGATTTGTTGGTTCTTAATATAAGACACATCATGAGATATTAATTATATTTTTTTAATATTATCCTATTTAAATTTATTAACCATGAGAGGGAATATAATATAAATTTAAAAAATTTATTTAAATATGGGTAAAATTAAAAATTTATTCTATTTTTAGATAAAATCAATAATTTAACAATCTCTTCTTGGTTCTAATATTCACTACTATTTATACTTCTTAATTAGTATTCCTTTCATCCTAAATTATAAGATACTTTTAGACAAAATCTCACATATCAACAAATTTCATAAACCACACTTAACAACTCTATTTTTTTTTTTGAAACAAAAAGATAAACTTTCAAAAATTTCATTCATTTCATATATTAAAAAGAGAGAGAGAGATGTGAAAATTAAATAGGAAGAGAAAGCATAATATTAAAATAAGTATATTTAATGAAACATTGATCTTTTCAAAATATCTTATATTTTAAAATATTAAATTTCTTTTAAAAGCATATTATAATTTACAATGGAGAGAATAGCAGTGAATAACAATAAGTATAGGCATTAAAATATTCTTAAACAGGTGAATTCAATGGACCAACTAATTTATCAGTTCACTTAAGAGGGTTTGCTTGAAAAGGCGGCACAAGAACATGATTGATCATAATAGAGAGACTTATTTGAAACACGCTCGGAGGTCAATTTCAAGGAAATTAAATGTTCAACTGTCATCATATATGCATTTGGAGGCCAATAATTAGCATATGGCCTACACCATATCAATATGTCCAACCTTCACCAACCTTGGAAGAACAATAGAAAATAAACTAACATAATTCATTTGGGAATACTCATATGGTTCAATTTATAAAACAGAGAAAAAATATTTATTTTTTTATTTATATAACAGATTAATGATTATTGTGTTCATATTTATTACTTTATTAAATATTTAAAAAGTTATTAAATATTATAATATCTTATTTTTAAAATATATATATTAACAAGGGTAGCTAAAAAATTATTAATTTTTCTAAAGAATTAATAAAATTTAAAAAATTTTTAATTTTTAATGAAAAAAATTGAGATGACTTACATGTAAGACTGGGGGAGTATTTGTCATTTTAGGGAGGGGGAATTGTTTTATATTACATTTTTTTAGCAGAATTTTAAAGTAACATTTAATAGTATTTTTCCTGTTTTACTCTTAGAGTAAGCCAATAATAACTCCAATTCTATTTTTAAATCATTTTTAATGTTTTTCTAAAATAAAAAAAATAAAACACATTAACTCTCTCTAAAAATTTAATAAATTTTTAACTTTATCCATGTTAAATATATATATATATATATTTTAATTACATAATTTCTCTCACCAATGTTTAATGGAGAGGAAAAGGAAAATTTTGTGATAAAAAATCAATAACATATTTTATAAATATAATGAAGGAAATCATTCTCTCTCTATCTTATAAATAGGATTATACATAGTTTAAATTGAGGCATTATAGTATTGAAATAAATGAGGAGCAAATTTGGTAAAATATATCATATTTTTTTACATATTTATTGAATTTCTTAATTTGAGTGCAATAATCTTAAACAGAAAATATAATGAAATGGATAGAGTGCATGCAATTGAACAAACTCGTATACTCCCTCCAATCCTATATATAAGTAAGTTTTTTACAAAAAATTTATAACCCTAAATATAAGTCACTTCCCAAAAGTTAAACTATGTTTATAAGTCACCTTCCAAATATACTCTTCTTCTCAATTTCCAATGAGGAGATAAACCATGTTTATTTTTAAAATTTATAGTATTTATAAGAGATAAAAATGAAAATCAAAGCAATTTTTAGACAATTTTAATAATGTAACTAAATTTTTCATGGTTCGTATGAATTAGTTACTAGTGACTTATAGTATGAGACAAAGGAGTATCATTTTAAAATAATATACCATTATTTATGTTATTTTTTAAAAATTATTAAACAGAAATTGCAAAAATAACCTATTTAAAGTGTTACAGTATTTAATTATTTTTTTACCTGCTTCGACACATTTATTTTATCAGCTTTTGTGCAAACTTTATCAGTTATATGTGATTGTCAAATTGTATACTTTTTTGTGCTAGCTAACTTAGCTCTTATTCAGATTGATGAGCATGCCCTTGCACAAACATTAACTCAATGCTTGTCTGAGAAAACAATGAAGAAGAAGATGACAGCAACACAAGTGCTTGACCTAATTTCACTTCCTAATATGCTTGAACTTCTGGTTAGCATTGAAGGAAAAACTTTTTTACAAAATAATATTTCAGTAGATTCAGTCCAACAAATCTCTCATTTCAAACAAAAAATAAACATAGCAAGGACAAGAAAGCTCCGATGTTTCCCAGGGTAGCTCAAGCATGAAGGGGCTTTCTGTTAGAAACTTCCACTACCCACTTGATCCTAATCTTTGAATGCAAAAACATACCATTCTCTCTCTTCTTGCTCTCTGCCTTGAGCACACAAGGCTAATGCCATTAACTTATTAAGAAGAAAAACTTGAGCAGCGATGTACTTTTTAGTTTTAACCAACAAACATCCCTTTGTTTTATTCTTCCTATGTAAAAAATTCCGCCTTTTTGGTACCTGAAAAGGTGGAAAAATTTAAACCAACATGGAAGAAGACAAAATTAATGATGTCAGGCACGAGAGTTATCGGAGTTTCAAAAATACATACTTTCATCTTTGTATTTCACAATCCCGTTAAAGAGATCGATCAGTTCTAGAAAGTTAGCTTCTCAGCTCTGACAACTAAAACCAGCAACCTCAGTAAAAGACCAAAGCGCTCTTTGATATGTCAGCTACATTGCAAGGTTCATTACTACTCGTTTGTCCCACCTAGCCCCATTTATGTTACCTAGTCATTTACGCCCTGAAGTTCACCTATAAAAAAGTTTCATTCTTGTTCTCTCTTTCCAACTTCTCTCCTCCATAAGAATTTAAAAAAAAAAATTAATGGCTACTACTTTCTCAATTTCACCTTCTGCATACCTCGTGAGATGCTGTTCCTCCATGAGAGAAAACCATGACCAGCGTAAGCAGCTAAACAGCAGCATCAGGATTAATGGGACTTCTAAATCCCCAGTAAAGGTTGATTCACTCAGCCAAACAGCTGAAGCAGCAGTTATTTCTGTTGCTCAAAATGGGCTACGCCAGAACATTCCAACAAAGAAGCAGCTTGTTGATCCTCATCGTCAAGGGCTCATCGTCGAAGGTGGAGTTGGCTACAGACAGACAGTGGTCATCAGGTCCTATGAAGTTGGCCCTGACAAAACTGCGACACTTGAGAGCATCCTCAATCTTCTTCAGGTGTCTACATAGCACATGCAGTTCATTGATGCTCTGTATCAGGAAATTATAGATGCTTGTGTTGTTATTATAACGTAGTTGATGATGGTGTGCAGGAGACAGCATTAAACCATGTATGGATGTCTGGACTGCTGAGTGACGGATTTGGGGCAACCCACGGAATGATGAGGAACAATCTTATCTGGGTTGTCTCGAGAATGCAAGTTCTGGTTGATTACTACCCTGTCTGGTAAGTATAACCTATCCATGATGGTCGCCACAACAATGACAGAAATTCGAAGAAATTTCGAGTTTGTTTTTGTTGGCTAGTTTGGTCATCTTCAGAAATTTCTACCTCGCCTCAGACAAATGAACCTCCCTTTATAATGGCATTTTCCCAAGGATCCCTCTTATTGGCATTCTCTTCACAGTTTATCTGCGGAAAACTAAAAGCATTTATGCCTTTTAATGTAAACACATGACCATCCAAGACTAAACTAAACAAATAAACACACTTCCTCTTTATCATTATAGATTGTGAGTAACCATAATCTAAGCAGATTCCCAGAAGACAGAAAAGAAACTTCGTTTTCTTACTGGTATAAGACTGAATCATAACCATTGAATAAACTATGACAAATATGGCAGGGGGGAGGTAGTTGAAATTGACACATGGGTTGGAGCATCAGGTAAAAATGGAATGCGGCGGGACTGGCTGATAAGAAGTCAAGCCACAGGCCGTGTTTTCGCTCGAGCAACAAGGTTTGTCCTGCAAAATTTTCCCTGGTCATCTTGGGTATGTTCCTCTTTCCCCCCTTTTATATGACTTTACTCATTTAGACAATTCATCAAACAGTACGTGGGTGATGATGAACCGAACGACAAGGCGCCTCTCAAAGATCCCAGATGAGGTGAGGGATGAAGTTTCCCCTTGGTTCATAGAGAAGCAAGCAATAAATGAAGACACCCATGAAAAAATTCTCAAGTTGAACAAAGAGGCAAAGTATATGATCTCAGATCTCAAGGTATGGCCATTTTCTGCTTCGCCTTCAATTTCTTACCAAAGCACACACACGCTGACTGCAACGCCTCCGTTGATGCAGCCAAAGAGGAGTGATTTGGACATGAACCACCATGTCAACAATGTGAAGTACGTAAAATGGATGCTAGAGGTAAATTACAAGTAAATTTCAATCCATTCTTCAATGATAGGTCAATAACAATTCTTATGCTTAACTTCGAAAACTACATTTTCAGGCCATCCCAGACCAAATCCTAGAGAGCTACCAATTATCAGGAATCACACTTGAGTACAGAAGGGAATGTGGAAGCTCAGATACAGTTCAGTCACTGTGTGATCTCGAAGAAGATGAAATACTTCATGATGTGGAGAAACAAGATTACAATTCAAATCTGTTCAGCTTGGCGTCAGAGATTATCAAGGAAGGTGGATTACTGGGATGCCTCGAGCAGAGACCCATTAGGTTTACGCATCTTCTACAAGCCAAAGGACAGAAGCAAGATCAAGAAATTGTGAGAGGAAGAACAACATGGAAGAGGAAGCTCCCTTCAATGCCATTTTCCACCCAGTAATATATCATCTACGTAGAAATTGCCACGGATAAGCGACGACGGTGTATATTATTGTGTGAATCTCCCAAGAAATTCTTGGCAAAGAGGGGAAAATTCCTTGAAAAACCGGATGTGGCATTTTAACTCGAAGTTGAAATTGTGTATGACATCACTCTCTTGTAAGAGCTTTTATTATAAATATAATTATAAGCCAAATTTAAAACGCATTTTATCTCTATTTTTTCAAACGTGCGTCAAAAAATAATCTTCATAAGGGGGCCGAGCAACCTATGATCCAACAAGTGAACCGTAACATATGTTTCCTGTACAATAGATTGGTAATTCAACCGGGCCATGCTTAAAACAATTATATAAAAAAAAAACCTTATACAGCAAAATCAGTCCAACCCCTCAAGCTCATTAAAGCTAGCTTAATATCTGAATTATGAAATGTTATTTTATTTTTTTAATCAGTTTTAATTTTTATATTAAAAAAATTAAGATTTTCAATTTTTTAATTTTAATTTTTTTATTAATAATATTCAGGCTAAACTCATTCTTTGAGCTTATCCGCGGCCTAAATAAGTTATAAGTAAAAAGGAAAAAAAAAAAAATCTATGCTCCTTAACTCAATTCTAAAATTTTTTAAATTTATTTGAACTAGCTTGTTGACTTTATTATACAAGTTTTGTTTTCATACCAAGTGTTGGGTCTTAGACTTTGTGCAATACACAAGTCCACCTATAAAATTCATAGCAAACTATACTACTAAGTTGTGATCCATAGCAAACTATAATAATCTTAACTAATAATAATAATAGCTAATTTCTCAAGCTCTATATAATACATAGCGAAGCCATATAATCTTTTATAAAATACTTCCTTGATCTACTAGTTGGATTGGCCCGTTTCTATTTTGCAGCTCCAGAAAGAGCCTAATGATTGAAGTACAGACATTACATGAACTTCTAAACTACATCAATCCAATACAGCACAAGTAGAAAACAAGTCCAATGTTCTTCTGTCATCAATAAGCAGAGAAATCAATGAATTGACATTGCAGGTAACAAATTGACCAAATTCACTTATTCAAAGATTTCGATGCCTCTCAAATCAGAAGTACTTTTTTCTACCAGCCGAAATTCCAATATCTGTAGCTCAGAACCTGTGAGGCACTATCCTAGGAAAATTATCATTTACAATTACAATGTAGATATAGCATTTACATCGAAATCAAACACAGATGAATATGAATGACCATCAAAATCAGGAAGGAATCAAAGAATTAATGCACTACACTTTGTTTGACAGTAAAGTTATCGCCGCTTCTTTGCTAGATTCCGATGCAGTTGCCATGACCAAACAAGCAAGAATGTAACAAGAGCCACTCCAACTGATGACCAGAAGATTGCCAACCATAAATTCATTGAATTATGATACAAACCTAATGAAACACCAAGAATGGGTTATCAGCGAATCTTTGGCATAAAATTAACACACTGATGAATATTTTTTTTCAGAGTCAATGATAGCAGGAATGAACATATATGAAAAGACCTACCATGTCCAAACTTGATGCAAATCAGAAGTTCTACAATGCAAATAGCAAGAGATAGCCAACAAAATGCTCCAACCTTCTTCACTGGCTTCCTAGAAAGTTCACAATGGCATGTGTAGATGAATAGCCAGAAGCACAAGAAAAATGTAAGCGCGTGAATGTGCCACTTTCCCACATGCAATACATAAGCAAGAATTATTTTTAAGATTAAAGGGCATTTTTGTCCCTCAATATTCCCTCATAAATATCTGATATTCTAAACTTTCATGTGGTGTAATTTTTCCTTCAACATTTGAAAATAGTGCATTGAGCACATTGCCATTAAAAAATTAACTGATTGTCAGTTAACTTAATCATTCAATATTTTTTTGTCTTTTTCTTTTGTGAGGTAGGGAGTAGGGACAAGAGATGAAGAATGTACCTATCTTGAAGGTAGGTGTTGTACTCACGAATTGTTGGAATTGCTATTAACCACCATAAAATCAACCTATAAATTATAACAGGGTTCCGCGGAGGTATCCAGAGGCAAAACTTGAGAAAGAATGTGTTGAGTTCCACTGTCAAAAAGACAATACAAAGACTAAGCACTTGAACAAAACGCCATGGACCAAGCAATGGATGCCACTCATCCTTGTCCCACCGTGCCGGTGTGAATTGTCCTAATGTTCGCTTCACCTGATAATAACATCAGGAGACAAACTGTTAGAGAAAGTTGAGGAATAAGAAAGTCAGATTTGGACAACAATCCAATAGAGACAGACAGAAATCCTGTAGGATAAGGATGGATTGATCTTCAAATCATGCAAAGAATAATGAGTTATAAAGAAAAACATCCATAATAGCAAAAACATACTTTTCCCATTATATTAGGTTGGCGGCTTAGTCCGACCCACTTGTATGTTTTCCCATCAAAGTATCTAACAGTATGCATTCCTGCCCATATACCTGCAAAGTCAACCAGGTATAACATGTTGTCAACAGCTCTAACACATTATAATTCTGGAATACATAAAATTGCAAAATATTGCTAAAAAAGAAATACTCCATATTCTTGATGACAGGAAGTCTCACTAGATAGTATAAATAACCAATATATGATCTCATGGCATCATATTATTCAGAAACTTGAAACAGCAATTCTAGGTTCTTTGGCAATTTTGCTGGGAATAGGACCAAATGAACCAGAACTTAATAGCTCTAATTCAAAATAGAGCCAGAAAACACAATTTCCAGACAACCTTAGAGCTCAACAGCCTTAAAACATTAAATGGAAAACATATATCCAAGAGTTAAAGTCCTAAAGCATTCTATAAATAAAAGGCTTGCCCTTTCCAAAATGAATTTTCAGTCATCCACAAAAAATTATGTTCAGATCAATGAATGAGTTCAATGTAATCATTATCATTTGCATATTAATAAAACATAATCTCATGCTTCAACTTTTATGTCACATGCTATATTCACCTCACGAACAAGCCAAAGAAAGATGAATGCACAATTCTTACCGAACCAATTGCAGATCAAGATGTCAAGAATAATGCTGTCCCACCAGCACTCATTGAAGTTCGGTAACATATGGCGGAAGGTAAACTGGAAATGCCAACGCGAAATATGTTTACAACATAGAAAAATTTTAAAAGCTAGCATTCTTTAAGGGCTTGAGTGTACAACCATGGAAAGGAGAGTGTTAATGAATAAGGATCAAGGGCTAACCTCCATCAACTCAAATCCAATTGACAACGCCCACAAAAGGGGTTGATTCCGTATCAATATAGCCTTTCCCCACCATCCAATAATATGAGCTAGAACAAACTCATCAAAAAGTGTCTCCTTTAGAAAGAAAAAAATATGTGAATATATATCAGCTGCATGTGGAACTAAATAATATAAACATAACAAGACATTTGAATTTAGAAGAATAAGAAAAATAAATATAAAAATAAACTAAAGTTTTTCAAAGAAGATATCATACATAAACATTCTTAAACCTGCTTGTGGGGTTTTCAGGTATGTAGATGCGACAATCAGCACCATATGATCTTTCTGGAAGCTCTGCATAAAGTAATGTAAAATTATAATGATTCAAACTGACAAAACCTTCAAGTCTCAAAAGCAACTCAGCTCAAATAAATAACTCCTGTTTAATTCAATGCTAAAGTAAAATAAAACTTCTGTTTGTGTTTGTGTGAAAGAGAGATATGTAGCATTACCAACACCAAGATCAGGATGAAGAAACTTCATAAACTGTCTAGCATCATCACGTTTCTGCAGAAACACAAATTTGAGGCTACAAATAAGCATATATCCAATTTAGTTGAAGGTAAAAAAAGCAACAAATGATGTCTGCTTTCATGTTTATCACGCACAAATTATAGTAGACACAGACAGAAAGAGTGGAAGGGAGCAAAATATGAAAATCAAGAAAGTGTGAAAATCTAATTCAAATGCATACCCCATCGTATTGAACTTATCAAAATCAGAAAATAGGAAATAAAATTGAAACAAAAAAAATCAACCTGGAAAAGCAAAAATGTAAGTGCAACAAGGTAAACAACAGCCATGCCATGGACCAAGCGCCAAATTGCAGGATGTGGTCTGATCAGAACCCTGAATACAGAAAGAAAAATAATGAGTGTCAGACAATGATGATCGTCTCAACAACTAGTTTACGACAAAAGTTAAGCCATCTAATAACCTAACACCTAAAAACCATCCCATCAAAAACGCAGATTTCATTATGCCACATGACCAAGGGCTATCACATATACTTAAGCCATGATTAGAATGACATGTAGAGTAATTTTATCGTTGAGCCACATGATCTTAGTTGCAAAGATCGAGTTAATACAAAGAAAGATTGAAAGAAACTAGTTAAACATGATCTTCTTCTGATGTCAACAATGAAAGGGTATTTTCTCATATCTAACAAGGAAGTCCACAAAACAAGCTCCACATTAAGGGAGAACCTCATTTGGGATTTAGAACTAAATGTAACAAAATATAAGGCAACTATACATAAAAATAGGTGTATGAAATCAAGAAGTATAGTAGATTTATAAACTCGTCAAAGCAATTAATGCAATTACTCACGTGGAGGGAGCTTGCAGCAGGCAATAAGCAAGAAAAACTGAAATCATTGCCCATACACCCCTAAAAAACAATAGCAAGCGTAGTTAAAACGTTGTACAAGAACTCTAGAAAAAAATTGTAAGCCAAAAATAAAGCAACAAGAAACCTAAAGATATTAAAAAGAACAAACCGTTTAACAGAAGTTACAAGATCACCAGATGCATCTCTTTCTGGATTAAGTGCTCCACTTGCCCAACTGGCAAATGCATCCAAAATAAAAAATTTGCTCAAACTCAATAATAATGTAGGACACATTCCTGAGCAGGTAATATTGCACCAACATTATATGGAAATAATTTATCTGGCAGCACACTCACATAAGAAAACAGGCACCAATAAGTAACAATGTAATTGTGCGAGGCTTGTATGCCCAGGCAGTCCATGGATCAAATTCATCTTCAAAATCTGACAGATGAGAGCCACCATTTTCTTTAACAAGATAGTCATTTCTCTTTACTCTTTGATGACCCCTGGTCTCCATAATTTAGTGTTGAAGAGAAGCTACTTTCTCACTAGTTTTAAATCTGCAAAAGTAAGATCATTTACTGATCTTGTGATGCTGTGACAAATGGCATCAGTAATCTATGCTCCTTAATAAACACTCCTGCAAAGCACACAGGGCAACAAATGACATGAAACATATAATCTCCTCCCAAGTGAGTCAAGGAACCATCCCATTTAACTATGAAAGACCAGTGTAGGTGCACATTATCAAGAGTTTTACCAATTTCTCGTGCAGAATAGAATCTCAGTTACATTTCATGTGCAACCACTAACAAGAGAAAAATATTCAGTGAAGAACCAAAGAAGCATGTATAAAACTCCAAATAAGCCAACAAATATGGTTCCATGATAGCAAGCAATATAAATGTATAATGTAGTTACTGCCAACATAAAGTACAGCAGTTGTAATTAAAAATGATACTGAGTTTCCGTAGAATATTTTGTAAAAATATTCCTATACAGTTTCCCATTTTGTACCCTTTTTTTGAAGTGGACCCAAAACATCATTTTTGAACAAAAGGGATTACATATTTTTCCTTTAATGCAAAAGAAATGATCTCAACGATCCGCCTATATGAACAAGAGGCCTACAACTTCTGTAAACTTAACCATCTTAGGGTCCCCCATTAAAAACAAAATAACCATCTTAGGGTTCCCCATTAAAAACAAAACTTGCCAGTTACAGAAAGCTGAACAAATTTCTGCACTTCAAACCTCAAATTGCAATCCAATGGGAGTGCCTGAGAAAACAACTTAATAAGAAACGTTATAGATTTGACCCACAGTACATCACAAATTCTACCGCATGCCGAAGGACTCTACAATATTATGGAACTTCAGCTTTAATGTCTGAGCAACAGCAGAACAGTACAATCCTGCATTTTAATACAGAACAGCCACATGCATATCACAGAATAGCAAGCTCAGATATTGACCCCTTCTCGAAACTAAACATCTCAACGAGCACTTGACAAAAGGTTAACTGCAACAAGAACTCCAAACATCCAAAGTTTGAACCGTTCACAATGCATTTAATGTAAACAGATATTAAATTTGACGATCATAGCATCATGATGGATCTAAATCTCGCATCCGCAGCCACTAAGTCAGGAAACCCATTAAAACAATACATAATTCAACTCTATACAGTTGCATGTAAGAAAAAAACAGATTGAAGCTTGAACCTAAATGAAAAATCAATTTTACATTGTTATTGAAAAGGAAGGGTGGGATGAACTCTTAAAAATTTTAAAGAAATACAGAATAAAGCATTGGGACGACCCGAAAATGGCAAGAAGGAAAAATGACGTCCACTGAATGTGAGCAGATTCGAAAACTGGAACCAGAAAAAAAGTAGAGAACTTTGCATAGCCACGAGAAAGTAGAGATAGAGCGCATTACAGAGCTACTGATATCACCCAAAAAGGAATTTATTTTCACTCAAAATAAAAGGGGGAATAAAACACACAGAAAAAGTGGGTTAGAAAGTCAGGTTATACTTTTTGCTGTTACGGGGTCGGCAACTTACGTAAAGAGAATGTGGGAAGCGGCAGAAATGAAGACCCATGGCCGCACGATTGGAGAAACAAGAAGATCGCAGCCGTCGGATGCCAGTAAAGGGAAGGGAGGTTTGTAGTAAGATATAGAGAGAGAAGGGGGCGAGTTTAATATATCGAATGAGGATATCGAAATCAGGCGAGAAAAAGAAAAGTGTCTGTGTTTCTGCTGCTAAAGAGCGATAAAAATTGCATATGTTTTTTCGCAGGGAATGAAAGGAGATGAGAGTTTTCAAGTTTCAGCTTCGACGCCTCTCTATCTATCTATCTGTGAGTCTCGGGTCTATGTAGGGGTGCTTCTTCGCGTTCTCTACGTGTTCTGGTCTCGCTCGCAGCACAAAGCGGAGTCTGCAACAGCGGCTAAAAGGGCCAACGGGGGATGACGAGAGAGCGTACGACGGTCAAAGAGAGACTTCAAGATGGTTTTGGTTTTGGACACGCACCAGGGTGAGAAGGAAGGAAAATATATATATACACTATATATAAGGAGGAAAATATATATTAATCTTATTAATAAATAAATAGTTTTATTTTATTTTTAGAATAAAATTTAAAGATGAACTACGTAAGTAAAGGTTTAATATAACTAAGTATATAATTTTTATAATTTAGATTATATTATTATATTGTTAAAACATTGACTCGACTTAGTAATTACTATAGAGTAATAAAAATATGTACAAATTTAAATATTTATGCTTTAATTTTTTTCAATTTAGCTTTGTATTTTTATTTTATTAATTAGAACAATCGTTTCACACGTTATGCGAAATTTTAAGTATTATTTATCATATCGTTTATCATTATGAAAATATAACTTATTATAGATATAGATTGTGTATTTATTATTTAAATACATATAATATTTGAAAATTTTATTGAATATATTAGTTATCGAGGTATTAAAATTAAAATTGAAGAAAATGAGTTTTTCCATAACTTCCGAGATATTACATATCTTGCTACTATTTATGAGTAATTGATTGATAGTGTTCACGTATTTTAAAAAAAAAAATCCAATTACTGTTTATTTACTACAATTGTACCATGATAAGAAAATTATCAGCCGGCAAAAAATAGGTTACTTAAATTATAAAACACTTACAAAATCATGTATGTTAATAAAATTTATTAAATACATTTTATAATTTTATTTTTAAAATAAAAATACAAATTTTTAAAAATATCATTTATTTAACACTCTATTTATAAAAAATATTAAAAAATATATAAAAAGGGTAATATTAAAAAATAAAATTATTGAAACTTTATTTTTATCAAAATATATTATATTTTGAGATGCAAAGTTACTCACAAAAGTATTTTATAATTTAAAATAAATAGAGTAAAAAATAATATCTATAATAATTTTTTCCTTAATTAATCTTTCAAGTGGAAAAAAAATTTTAAAAATGATAATTAAAGACCCTATAAAAATATTAATAACAACTATAGATATTAAATTATTAAAATTTTAATAACAGACTATAGTCCTTAATTGTAATTAAAAAAGTGAATAGTTGGAAAATTGACCAAATACACTTAAAATTATTTATAATGTCAATTGAAAATTTACAAAAAGTCAATTCTAAATTTTAATTTTTTATTGTCAATATACAAATAAATTATTTGTAAAATTAAGTAAATATGTTAAAAATTATTAATAAGGTTAGTTGAAAAATTATAAGAGTCAATTGTAAAACATAAAATAATCACTTATAATTTTTTTGTCAATATAAATAAATTGCATGAAAAATTTACTAAATATATTTAGAATTTAAATTTAACATTATTTGTAAGGTTAATTAAAAATTTATAAAAGAGAATTATAAATCTTAAATCAATCACCTGTAATTTTTTATTATGACTCATAAAATTAATAAAAATAGTTGAAAATCTTTATAACATTAATTGAAAGTTAATTAAAATCTGTTGTGAATTTCAAATAAATAAATAAATAATAATTTATTATGAATAAAAATCATAGTCTGTTATTAAAAATTTAATAATTTATAATTTATAATTATCATTAACGTCCTTGCAGATTCTAGTTGTCATTTTTCCAAGATCGTTCTATGAACGAGCCTGCCATGACGCGCTTAATGAAAGAAGAAAAGAACAAAGAGCGATTAATGTTATACCCAAAGTACCCCTATCTTGCAGCGTATAGTCTTCATATTTGATTCCCACTCATTATGTTGGGGGGGCCTGAAATGTCCACAATACCCTCACTTTGTTGTAAAATTCCTGATTCCTCCTTTGGTTTTTTGTTTCGCGAAAAATCCTTTCCTTTTTTTTTTGTTAGCTCGAAAAAAAAAAAACCATAAGAAAAACTACATTAAAATTTTATAAAAAAATAATTATTGTAAGGTTTATTAATAATTAAACTATATTGACAACAACTATCAATATAATTTAGTTTATTTATTAATAAATTTACAGTAATTAATTTTTTTATGGGATTTGGTTATAATTCTCCCAAATTCTTATTGAAAGACACTAATTTGACAAAAGTGACATTAAAAATTATCAAATTAAACTTTTGGAGGATTTAACCTGATGATAAATGCATACATGTGCAGATGGCGGCAAGAGCATGTGTTCTTTTGAAACCTCTAGGCCTTGTTTGATATGTGATATTAATTTTTAAGGGATTTGGAATGGGACTAGGATTAGGATTGGTATGGGATTGGGAGTGAAAATAAATTTTAAAATTATATTTAGTATGAGGTATGATTAAAAAAACAAACAACTGAGATTTATCCAAAAAATAGCTAAAAGATAATATTGTCCTTATCATTTTCTTCATCATCCTCTCCTCTCGTGTTGTTACTTGAATGTAACCTAGATTCATCATCATCATTATTCTAGCTAAAAGTATGAATGCTTTTGATGAACTAGATTCTTCTTCTTCATCATTCTTCTTGCTAAAACTAGGAATCATTTTGATGAACCCAAATTCCATCACTACTTGAACTTACATTTTCCATACTCATCCTCCTCAACCACTACCTTTGCCACTGTCAAGCTCGCAAGATCTAGACCAAGGGGGTAAGGGTCTCTGTCGAGCAAATCTAGACCAAGGAGGGAGAGGGGTTGCAATCGAGCTCACCAGATCTGAACTTGCATAACCAAATTTGAACAAATATAGGGACATCAACATAAATGAGCTCACCAAATCTAATCTTTCAGGGACGTCGGGAACGAGCAAGGACATGGTAGGAGAGTAGACGTTGTTCATACTTTACTCAAACAAGGGGTGAGAGACGTCGATCCATCAGAGAGTGAAGACAACATGAGGATGACTAAATAGAGAAGAGGGTAATTTAGTCTAATATTATCTTGTCCTGGGACTGATTTCCCAATACTAAGCAGTGGTGATAGTAGGTAATCCCATGTAGATGGGATTAGGATTGGGATTAAATCTTCTATTACCTCATACCAAATATGAAAAGTTGGTACTAACCAGTCCTACTCCCACTCCTACTTCATCAATCCAGCATACCAAACAAGGCCCTAAGGTTTCCCTCTCCATCTTTAGGAGGGTCACCCCATTAAAGGGAGTTTTTCCTACTTATGGCAATAGCGAGCTTTGAGGTTCTTCTCCTCGACAACAACCATAGTGTGGTGCGTGCACGTTAGGTGTGTGGGTGGTTAGTGTGGAATCATGATCTAGGTTTGGCAGCCATAACATTAGTAAGGGTGGAGGTTTTACATTCCAAATCAATGACTATATTCCTACAACTAGTTCAATGGAGAAGATGGATGATCGAGTATCTAAAGGGGCGACAATTAAAGCAAAAATGGTGGTAGATCTTGCTTTTGATTTTGTAATCGTGGTAATGCAAATGGGATTTTGATTGCCGATCATGCCTATTGGCTTTTGGTTTGATAATCATGTTTGCTTGGGTGATGCTGAAGATTTACATTGGGTGTCCCCTAGCTCAGAATTAGGAATGGAAATCAGATTTCCATTATCTCTGGTGTGTTTAGAGATTTTTGAGTCTGGGATAGTGGATATGATAAAATTTCCCAAGTTCGTGCTAGACCAATTGTGGAAATAGTTTATCCAAGTGATGAATAATTTGAGATTGAGGGTAATCTTTTTTATTTAGTTGCTTGATTATGAGAGTTCATTGATTTTATCCTATAGTTTTTCTTTATGGATTACTTCTTCCACACCTATTTGTTTAGTGATTTCTAAGGATCATCACTGGCTTAATCTTTTTAATTTGATGGATTTTTCTTGGCTAACACGAGTCACCTTATATGCTCTTTTGAATCTGGTGGAAATGGAAAGGCTCTTTGTTTTTGATGATCTGCAGTTTGATTCTAAATATGAAGTTTTGACTGTAAGGTCTATGAATTGCCTTTTAATTGAGATGAAATTCTTGTGGCTCTGCCTCTACTTTGGTATTGTGTTTTTTGTTTGATTATTTTGCTAACAAAGTTAAAAATGACTTGAGGTGGGTTCCTCCTGGATATAGGTAGTTCTCTTTCAAGTTTGCTACTAAGCTTGAGTTTACTCTGATTAGAAATGAGGGTGTTTGTGGGTGGAATCACGAAGAATGGTGGAATGGCTTTTGCCCCTATTACAAAATACGAAAATTCAAGATATTACTAAAGCCTTACTTGCATTTACTCTTTGGCAGATCTGGAAAGCTAGGTGTACTTTTGTCTTTGAAAAGAAATTTGTTGATTCGATGGTTATTATACATATAGCTAATGTTTGTTTGGAGATATTTTGTGTAGCTAATAACTGGGGTGCCATAGTCATGTAAGCTATTTGTGTGGCTAGTAGAGCTTAGGAAGCAACTAATGTTATTCTTACTTTTGGGGTTTCAATTCAGATTTATCTATGTTTGATTTTTTTTTCTTTTGCATTTTGTGTTGGTGCTTTTGACCCTTATCTAATTATAACTAATTTTGGTTTCATTGTGCGTGAGGTTTTGGGATGGTGTATAAAAGTATCCTTCAAGTCTGTGCAAGCTATCTCTCCTCTCTACAATGAAGATGAGGCATTGCTTTTGTGTTTTTTTAGTGTCTTTCCTCTGGTGTGACAAATGTGTTGGTTCTATCATATTGCCTCCCATTGGTTGAAGCTGTGCATTGTGTTTTTCTTTGCCCAAATTGGAAATGCTTGACCATTGTGGGTAACTTTTTGAATTATGGGCAAACACTAAACTCTTTTAGCTTTAAGTGGATCCTGTAAAATCTTAACCGTGCTGCTGACTAGTTTTCTCATGTAACAAGGAAGGAGATGTGTTCTTTGGATGGGCTTTCAAAGCCCCCACCTCTATTAGTTGTTGTCCTAGATCAGGACTTGCTAGAATTTCGAAATTTTACCTTTGTTGTCACCTATTTTTTCCTTTTGCTTTGGCTTTTGTTTTGTTGCTTTGTGCTCTCTGTTTGTTTCGTTACTATTGGTTTTTAGTACTATGATTA